TGTGACACCACCTCTGCTGCACCACGTGACACCTCCTGCTGCACCATGAGACACCTCTGCTGCACCACGACACCTCCTCTGCTGCACCATGACACCTCCTCTGCTGCACCACGTGACACCTCCTCTGCTGCACCATGTGACACCTCCTCTGCTGCACCACGACACCTCCCCCTGCTGCACCATGAGACACCTCCTCTGCTGCACCATGAGACACTCTGCTGCACCACGTGACACTCCCTGCTGCACCACGAGACACCTCCTCTGCTGCACCACGTGACACCTCCCTGCTGCACCACGTGACACCTCCCCTGCTGCACCATGAGACACCTCTGCTGCACCATGACACCTCTGCTGCACCACGTGACACCTCCTCTGCTGCACCATGACACCTCCCTGCTGACACCTCCCTGCTGCACCATGTGACACCTCTGCTGCACCATGAGACACCTCCTCTGCTGCACCACGTGACACCTCCCCTGCTGCACCACGAGACACCTCCCCTGCTGCACCATGTGACACCTCCTCTGCTGCACCATGTGACACTTCCTCTGCTGTACCATGATACCTCCTCTGCTGCACTATGTGTCTGCACCATGAGACACCTCTGCTGCACCATGACACCTCCTCCGCTGCACCATGTGACACCTCTGCTGCACCATGACACCTCCCTGCTGCACCATGTGACACCTCCCTGCTGCACCTGACACCTCCTCTGCTGCACCAGTTGACACCTCCTCTGCTGCACCAGTTGACACCTCCTCTGCTGCACCAGTTGACACCTCCTCTGCTGCACCATGTGACACCTCCTCTGCTGCACCAGCTGACACCTTCTATTCTGCACCATGTGACACCTCTGCTGCACCAGTTGACACCTCCTCTGCTGCACCATGGACACCTCCTCTGCTGCACCAGGACACCTCCTCTACTGCACCATGACACCACCTCTGCTGCACCAGTTGACACCTTCTATTCTGCACCATGACACCTTCTATTCTGCACCATGTGACACCTCCTCTGCTGCACCATGTGACACCACCTCTGCTGCACCACGTGACACCTCCCCTGCTGCACCATGACACCTCCTCTGCTGCACCACGTGACACCTCCTCTGCTGCACCATGTGACACCTCCTCTGCTGCACCACGTGACACCTCCTCTGCTGCACCATGTGACACCTCCTCTGCTGCACCACGACACCTCCCCTGCTGCACCATGAGACACCTCCTCTGCTGCACCATGAGACACCTCCTCTGCTGCACCACGTGACACCTCCCCTGCTGCACCACGAGACACCTCCTCTGCTGCACCACGTGACACCTCCCCTGCTGCACCACGACACCTCCCCTGCTGCACCATGAGACACCTCCTCTGCTGCACCACATGTGACACCTCCTCTGCTGCACCACGTGACACCTCCCTCTGCTGCACCACGTGACACCTCCCTGCTGCACCACGACATGCTGATGACACCTCCTCTGCTGCACCACGTGACACCTCCCTGCTGCACCACGAGACACCTCCCCTGCTGCACCATGTGACACCTCCTCTGCTGCACCATGTGACACTTCCTCTGCTGTACCATGTGATACCTCCTCTGCTGCACTATGTGACACCCTCTGCTGCACCATGAGACACCTCTCTGCTGCACCATGTGACACCTCCGCTGCACCATGACACCTCCTGCTGCACCATGTGACACCTCCCCTGCTGCACCATGTGACACCTCCTCTGCTGCACCAGTTGACACCTCTGCTGCACCAGTTGACACCTCCTCTGCTGCACCAGTTGACACCTCCTCTGCTGCACCAGTTGACACCTCCTCTGCTGCACCATGTGACACCTCCTCTGCTGCACCAGTTGACACCTTCTATTCTGCACCATGTGACACCTCTGCTGCACCAGTTGACACCTCCTCTGCTGCACCATGTGACACCTCCTCTGCTGCACCAGTTGACACCTCTACTGCACCATGTGACACCACCCTGCTGCACCAGTTGACACCTTCTATTCTGCACCATGACACCTTCTATTCTGCACCATGTGACACCTCCTCTGCTGCACCATGTGACACCACCTCTGCTGCACCATGTGACACCACCTCTGCTGCACCAGTTGACACCTTCTATTCTGCACCATGTGACACCTTCTATTCTGCACCAGTTGACACCTCCTCTGCTGCACCATGTGACACCTCCTCTGCTGCACCAGTTGACACCTCCTCTGCTGCACCATGTGACACCACCTCTGCTGCACCATGTGACACCACCTCTGCTGCACCAGTTGACACCTCCTCTGCTGCACCATGTGACACCTCGTCTGCCGCGGCCACCTGCCACAGCAGCCTGGGAGTGACAACACCTCTTTCATCAACTGCTAATGAGTATTGTCATTCACATACAGATAAGCGTTATCTGATTAACTGATTAGCAGGTTTTATCATAATGACTAAGTTGCCGTTTTAATCAACTAAATTTCCCCCAAATCAAAGTATTCCTTCTTTAAGCCGCCAGACAGACAGACAAGGTGACACAAGCAACATGGCCGTGGTGACCCTCAGAAGGACGCCTCACTTTCTGCACCCAACAATTCCTCCTCAACACAGGACATTAATTTGACCCGATAGAAGAAGAAAACATTAGACAAATTCTCACACAGATATCTGAGAGCACTTCATCGTCTCCCCGTCAATATTTAATCGTGAATTGTTATAGACTGTCTGTGCGACTCTGCTGCAATATAGATGCTGCAGGGATAAAGTTTTGGTCTTGATAATCATCATTTGGCGGTTTGCCTACAGAGGAACTCCCGGCTGGTTGGGGGAGGGGTGGGGTGGAGGGGGGGATAGAGGGAGGGGGAGGGAGGGGAGGAGGAGGAGGGTTGGGGGTTGGAGGGAGAGGGAGTGGGGAAGGGAGAGAGGGAGGGAGAGGGAGTGGGGAAGGGAGAGAGGGAGGAAGAGGTAGGGGGGAGATAGAGGGGAAGGAGGATGAGGAGGAGGAGGAAGGGAGATGTCTGCCCAGCCACTGTCCACACGACCGTCACTGACACACACTACTCAAGATACATTTTTGAGGATCAACTTTTTTATATACACAGTGAAGCAGCCATTTGTTCCTGTTGAGTTGTGGGGGTATGTATGTAGTACTCTAATGACATCAACCATCCTGGAAGACACTGACATCAACCATCCTGGAAGACAATGACATCAACCATCCTGGAAGACGGTGACATCAACCATCCTGGAAGACACTGACATCAACCATCCTGGAAGACACTGGCATCAACCATCCTGGAAGACACTGACATCAACCATCCTGGAAGACGGTGACATCAACCATCCTGGAAGACACTGACATCAACCATCCTGGAAGACGCTGACATCAACAAACCAGAGAGACAGTATCGTAAAGAAGAGACGAGAGAAGAGAGATATGAACAAGTCAGCATAAAGAGGTTCCAAGAATGACCAGTTACCTGAACAAGACTTACTTGGTGTACTAGTGTTGATCATTATCGTTTACCTGGGTAATTAAGAGACACCGGGACAGCAGGTGAAGTATTTGTGAAACGCAGAGGGGGAAGATGGAACAATGTCTCTTGCATGCGTCTCTTTAATGTCTCGGTGTTACAGTGTCTCTTAGCTATCTCTCTCTTCATGTCTCGCTGTTTCAACTACCTCATTCAATTGTTTGTTTGTGATGCTACTTAACTGTTTACTATACCTGACTGTTGTTTGTGATGCTACTTAACTGTTTACTATACCTGACTGTTGTTTGTGATCCCTGACTGTTAGCTCTCCCTGTTGCCCTTACTAGTGTCTGGCGGCTGTGTATTGTCTCTGATGAATGATAGTTTTTTTTCGGATTATGAGATCGTGCTTAGTTTCCTTAACCCTCAATTTAACATCAACCACCCTAACCTAACGTAACCCTCAATTTAACATTAACCACCCTAACCTAACGTAACCCTCAATTTAACATTAACCACCCTAACCTAAGGTAACCCTCAATTTAACATTAATCACCCTTATCTAACAGTAACCTCAATTTAACATCAACCACCCTAACCTAACGTAACCCTCAATTTAACATTAACCACCCTAACCTAACGTAACCCTCAATTTAACATTAACCACCCTAACCTAAGGTAACCCTCAATTTAACATTAATCACCCTTATCTAACAGTAACCTAACCTAACAGTAACCTAACCTAACAGGAACAAAACCTAACCTAACCTGGGACAAAGAAAATAGTAAAGATCAGGTCAAATGGGTTTAATCACTCTAATGGGATTAATCACTCTAAGGTGGTTTAATCACTCTAACATGGTTTAATCACTCTGAAGGGTTTAATCACTCTAAAGAGGTTTAATCACTCTAACATGGTTTAATCACTCTAAAGGGTTTAATCACTCTAAAGAGGTTTAATCACTCTAACATGGTTTAATCACTCTAAAGGTGGTGTAGTTCGATCTTAATTCTAACAGTGTAAACAGTATGTAGTTGAGGAAAACCACATACAATCAAGGTAAAAAAATAACTCTTTCCCTGAACCCCGAGACTCATGAACCAGTGAATCCGGGACAACACAGTACAGTATCTATGAACCCAAGAATGTCTCATGTCTCGCATTCACGATTTCAAGAGTCTCAAGGGTTCATGGATGGGATGAAACAATAACAACTCTTTTGACATTTATCTATCCATCTATCTATCCATCTATCTATCTATCTATCTATCTATTTATCTACCAAGAATAATTCCTTTCCCATGAAGTCACTACTGCTAACCAAAGACTCCCACACCATTAAGGAAAAAAAAAATATGAATCTATGAACGAACACCTTGAAAACCTAACCTAACCAAAGGTACTACAATACAATAGTTACCTTCACTTATAAACCAAATAAAATAAATTCCTTCCACCTTGTTAACCGGTAAAAATATGAAAGGAATTACTAAACACACACACACACACACACACACAAAAAAATTGATATCCC